CCTTATTGTCCTCTCTTGTTCAGGGTCCCCAGTTGAATGCAGAAACAAACTCACGTAGGCCTACACGCACACTTTTTGGCGGTGGGGAGGGGGCATGCCCCCATACTTAGCAGTTACTAAAATGAGTCAGGGCTTCATGGACTGATCTATTAATGGCCAGTGTCTGATGGTTTCACACTTCCTCCCCCTTTGAAAATCATTCTACCGCCATTGGCCTCAGAACTTATTCCAAATTTGACGTTATTATAATATTCAACGATTCATGGGATTCTTACACACAGATCGAATATAACTCAAGGTGTATATTTAAGGTTCCAAAAAGACGTTTGGTTTGGTTTGTCATCCAAATGAGCATGAAAATCTTCAAGCAGTGATAAAACCCTGCAAAGTTGGCAACAAATTGTGCGATAGAAAGAAGGTTCCCTCATGGTTGAAGTGTAACCAATCAGGTCAGTCACATTCAATGGAACAGCTGAGCTGAAAATCTTGCTGTAGCAGATTTACATGTAATTGCTCAGCCGAGGACCCATGAGGGGAAAAATGAGGACTTGGTACTGTTCGCTTCAATCGTCTATGGGTTTACTGTAGTTTACAGATACAAATGTAATATAGTTATTGCATTGGTAGAGACATCTTTCATTTCCAGACCTGATTTTAATGAAGCAAGAGAGCATTTTTTTACTAATAGTGTGTTGCTTTAAGTGTCCAAACTGTCTTGCCAGTATAAAGAATATTTTCAATCACACGTGTGTAGATTGCGTGTTCTCTGTGGATGCTTTATTTTGTATCACTTTTATAACAAAGTACCTGTATTATAACAAAATAATATTTGATAATATTCTTCGCCGTTGGATTTGGTTTTAATTACCAATTCATAAGTTTAAAAGAGTTGCGTTTGTTTAGCATAGTTTATATTCACAAGTTTTGGTAGGGTTTTAAATAATCGATATTTACACCATAACAAAGCTTTCTTATTAAAGATTCCTTTATTCAGTAGCTTGTGTAAGGTAATGAGTTGTACCTTTTTGTAACAAGAAAATGGTTGTTTCTATTTATCTGTATATTATCACCTTTGAGTGACACCGTCCACCAAATGCCGTCCGTATAATTCACGTTCAAATGAGATACACGACTGAGTGTAGTTTTATAAGCTTAATTTAGCGGTATATATCCATTTCTTGTTCCTGTTGAAGCTTCCTGTTATTAATATAATAAAGCAGGAACGCCTCTACATGAAACCAACAGTTTAAAAGTCTATTTGTTTGCTCTTGCCAAAGAATACAAGCCCCAGTTTCATGTCGCGTATTAGACGGAAGCTTCGTCCATCGCTCAGAGACTGTCAGACCCCCCCTCCCCAGCGTACTCCCAGCTCGGGGTACGTTGACCCAAGAAGCATTCGTATTTGCATCAAGTGCGGCAAAATCGGGAATCACTTTAGTATATAGGCAGTGAAATAGGCCTGTACTCGCGGTTCATAGCTCTCTTCTGCTCCCAGCGAAGCTTTTTGCTAAATGTGTGCACATGTATCAACTCTGCGTTGTGAAATTTTCCGGAGTTCATGAGTGAACTATCGAGGATTGTACGCTCGCATTCACACAACCCTTCAAGACGCAAACACATAAGAACAAAGCAACTGACAAACTTGCGTGTCACACTTTGGGCAGGGCGTTGTTTCTGTCGTTGCGATGCACACGCAGTCACATGGTGGTCTTTTCAAAGCATTTTTACCGCCAAAATGACCAAAAAACGCAAAGGCTGCCGTTCTACGAAAAGTTTAACGCCTCTAAACTTTGGGTGTTTTCAAGGAGTCACTAATTTATTTGTGGTGTGGCTCAAATAGCAATGAAATGAACGATTGTCATGCGTGATCCTGTGAGTGTGGTTTACAGCGTGGGTGTATAATTTTTCAACCGGCGCGGAAACGCAAAACTTATTCGGGCCTGTCACAGATGAACCAAACTTAAGGTGACATTTACTGAATACCTATACCTTCCAGTCTATGTTGCTTGACGAGCGCGCGGGGCTGTATCATTGAGCACCAGAATTTGGACGGTTCTTATAATTTCCCTGACTGTTCACGTTCTCTTAACTTTGTCAGTTGACCAAGCGGGGGTGGATCCAGGAGTTTTTCCAATGGGAGGTCATCAGACCTGTCAGCTTTTTATGTCCAATTGTTGCGGACAGGTAGGCACATGCATCACATACAGGCCTTACAGGATCTCGTCTTGTAACTATTACCGTGATTGTTATTTCATTTCTTTATATTTTTATTTTTTTAACTTTACATTGGGCGGGTGGATCCGCGCCAAGTCCATGGACATTTGTTGATCAAACAGTGGAAGGTATTCTGTGGTGGCGCTTGTTCAGTATGTGGGACTTGCTTCGTAGCTTGGTTATTTTTCCCAATAGGGACTGTTTTTGCATCCAACTGTCCCTCAGGCCGATCTGTTTCCTCCCCGTCGACTGTTTACCAACGAGCCGTGTAGCGGGCATGTGTCCTGACACAACTTGTTGCCATGGCTTGGAGGGGAATCAACCCCTGTACAAACACCACGCTGCTCCGGTGTTTTTGTCTTGCCCCGTGGGCTTTGGTCTTCGGAAGCCGCTGGTTTCTGAAAATTCACGTTGTCGTGTATTTCTGTCGGTCCCCTTGATACATGATGGCGAGAGAGAAATATGAGTGTTTAAGACATCTATTGATGAAACAAAAGTGCAGTGGAGAGAATATGATCAAGGCTGCTGACGCAAAGAGAGGATTACTGTTGAGTTTCCATCAGAATCAATAAAACTTTTCCAAGGTTATAGCAATAGCAAAATCAAAAGGATAACTTGTTATTCAGGAAAGTCAGATCTTTGAGAGGATCTCGTCTGAGGAACGATATAGTTTGTGGAGCGGTTTGATTTTCTCTTCAAGTGTCACTGGAGGGAATTGGGGCGATGTCAAACGGAAACGGGGCTTTGTGCGATTTGGCGGCATCCACAGTACGTGTCATGCATTAGACGCTGTCTCCAGACGTCCGGCCGACTGCGGAGACGGTGCTGTCAACAAAGTGTGAGCCTATTAATAGGAGGGGTTCTTCCGCGAAATAGCCCCTTCCCCGCTTACCCCGCATGATCGGGGTGCTTTTCTCTGTAAACTTTTTCCAAGAATTTTGGACGATTTTAGGGAAGCTTTCAAACAAATTAATGCCAGGTGTTACAGCCTCCAGCCCCTCTCCACCCCTTCAAGACAAACGTCTAGACATATCCAGTCCGATAAGCCATAGTTGTACATGTACTTGTAGATCGGCGTCGATCCTGTTTAATATCGACTTGCCATTGTTGACTGCAATCAAGGGTCAATGCGGTGCGACTCCTTCTAAATACAACCATTAAAAATGCACCTTTGTGTCTCCATAAAGCTTGATTTCAGTTTTTTGTTGCCATTTTATAGGGTAATTTGGTTTTCCTATTTTCCTGTTAATGACAATTTCCATATTCATGTGCAAAATTGTAATGTCGTCCCGGGGAGAAAACCGCAATGTTACAACGCATTGATATGTGCATAAACAAGATGCTGGAATTTTTCACAATTATTATAATGGCCTGAATTCCTTTCTTTTTTCTTGGACGATCGCTGAAGTTGTGTGTTAACTTCAGATTCCATGGTTCAATGTAAACGGCGATCAATGCATGTAACTCTGTGCAGTGCATGTGCACTGAGCGTTGTTAAAACTGAAGTGACGTCACACGAACCGGATACGGGCGATTCACAATAGCGCGCCTCCAAGAGTTTGCGTTGGCCAATCACAATGTGCGAAATCTGTTGACCCTTTCCAAACGCGCATTGGACACGCGCTATTGTGAATCGCTCGTTTCCAGAAATGTTTTCACTGAGCGAAATTTTGTTTCACAATTTTATTGTAAAAATGTATAAAACAATAAACAGTGTCTTTCCCTTGATGTCACTGCAACGGCGCCCTCAGTTGTCTCGGAAAGCATGAACAATTTTGAATGTTTTAAAAAGTGGAATTTTCAATACGCTAAACCCCAAAGGGGTACCAATCAATAGATCCATACGTAGAAGAGGACTAAACACCTGAAGTTGCACAAAAAACACATGTGAAAAAAATTCAATACTAGCAAGCGAAGTAGTTTGGTACTGCAGAGTGATGGTTGTATGACCGTTTTGTGGTGCTAGATCAGTGCTGTGCATGTAGTCTTGTTGACACCGGTAACTGTTTTATGTTAATTGGCATTTCACTGTAAAGGACGGGTGCTTTGGAGAGATTGTGGTCAAATGTAGTTTTAGGTTGGGTATGGTTTGGAGTGGATCGGATGCACGACGAATGGAGTTTAGGGCGTTAAGAGCTGCAATGTTAGTGATAAGCCCCTACAAGTGCAAATCAATCGGGCATTTACTAACAGTAACAGCCGCACTGCAGCGGTAGAACATTCCCTGTAGAAACTTGACATGCACGAAGCTCTATTTAGAATGACAATGTCTGTAGTATGTTCACAAATGATCAGTCATGATTCATGTTACCACAGTTGGTTCCCCTGTGCCCCGCATTAACTCGGTGACTTGTAAATGGCAGGTAGCAGTGTTTTCACGGTGCATAAGTGTAGCTTGCTATGACCATTGAAGTGCAAGCCGCGCTGTCACAGACTCGAGCAGGGACTGCATGCTGCTGTATAAACGGCCGATACTGGGCGGCTATATTTGGCTAAGTAAGATGTGGTTGAGGTACATGTACTTGGTAACCGTTGATAGGGATCTAGGTAATAGCCCGGTCTGTCCTTGGCCATGTAGAGCTTCCTGTTTGTGGGGGCCCCCTTCCCTCACGTCGGTTGGGCAATCACTTGCGGTTCGCCTAACTAACGCAGCCCACGGAAACCCTACGGCAGCGCGTAAGAAAACCCTACAGGAAACGACTG